AGCCCTTCTTTTTCTCTAATTTTTGGTCTGCAAACTTAAGTTGTTAACCCTCCATAAGAGAAGCTTAATGATATTATTACCCTATAACATAGGCAGTTGAACTTAACCTCACTATCTGTCTGACTATCAGACATCTTAGACATAGCATGGAACAGGAATTTTCCATCAAGTAAGTGATGAACCATGTAAATACAAATGTTTTATTAAAATTAGTTTTTTCTTAAACATTGTTGAATGCTGAATGTTATTGTTCAAAGAAAACAAATGAAATAAATATTCATAATTTATAACATAACTCAGTAGTTTTGTGTTGAATTTAATAGAAACTATTTCCCAATTCTGTTTCCATGCATATAGAATTTTAATAAAATTATAGAGAATTTATCATTATAAGAAAATTACCTGATGCTGAATCAGTTTTTTTTCCATACATTAGCTTAGCACATCTTTCTATTTTGTGTGTTTATGACTTTTTTAAATTGACAGTCAGAGTTATAGTTGGGCTTTCATGTCATGATAAATATTATCAGATTGAAAAATGCAAATAATTGATGACTCACAGTTATTTTGCAAACATTTTGAAGATCAGGGCCCTGGGAGATGGCTCAGTGGAATAAGCGCTTCCCTGGCAAGGGCAAGGGCCTGAGTTCAATCCCCGGTTCTGCCAAAAACAACAACAACAACAACAACAAAAACAAAACATTTTGAAGATCTGCCTTGTTTTCTAGAAACTCTATAAAGACTATGAGGAAGACTAACATGGTGATTATTAAATGAATCCTAAGGCACCAAAGTATTCCTCTAATGATTAGCACACAGAAAAATGAGATAGTTGAAATGACTTCTAAACTCTTCCACCAAATATTCAAAAGTGATATATCCTATGATAAACCCATTGTAATTTTAAAAATTGATAGGGTGTACCTATCACTATAATTTTATTTTAGAGCATTGTATCAACCCCAAAACACATGTAGTTAATTTCTTATCAAATCTTATTGTACTTTTAGTTCAAAGTTATCATTAATCTGCTTTCTTTGAGTACAGATTTTCTTTTTCTGGAAATTTTATATAAATATAATTTTCATTTTATATAAGCAAATTTTTAGAATTTTTAGTTGGCTACCTTGATTTAGAAGAATGTTTTCTGAAGAACAGTTATGATGTGGTGTGTACTAATATTACACTTTGTGTAACTGAGTGGTATTCATTTTTATGGTGAGGCCAAATTGTCATTCTCCATTCATAAGATCAGAGGCATTTAGACAGTTTCTTTTTCTTGAGTAATGCCCTGTGAACATTTACAGAAAGGCTTAAGTGTGCATAGTCTTCATTTATCTTTGCTAGATTCTTAAGGATGAGTTTTTTAAACATTGCACAATGACGAGTATAGGTAATAATTGAATATTGCATATTTCAACATATCAAAAGAAGCAAAATTCAAGTGTTCTTATCATAAAAGTTGACAAATATTCAAGGTGATATATCCATTAACAATCTTGAGGTAGTTATTACAGATTGGAAATTTATAATGCTGTTTAGGACTGAATAACTATATACTATTCTAATTTGTCAAGATACAATATAAATTGTAGGATCATCTAATGCTTATATTAAGCATGTTTGGAAAATGTCATACTATTTCCTGAAGTGCTTTATTTTTCATTTTTTATTTCCACAACCAACTGAGAGAATTTCCAGTATTCCACATGTTCACCAGTACTTTAAGTTTGTCTTTTTAGCTATAGTCATACAGGTGCAAGTAAACAGTTCTTTCATTTTGGTTTTTAGTCTGCATTTCCTTAACAACCTTTGATACTGAGAATATTTTCATTTGCATATTACTCACTGTTATACTCTCAGAAGGACGTAGGTAAATTAACCATTTTTTTTTTCAGTTGGATGCTAGTCTCATTACTTAATTGTAAGAATAACATATATTTTGAATAAAAATTCATATACCTATATAATATGTTTTGTAAGTAAATTTTTTGCCATCTTTGGTGTACTTCTTACTTTCATAATGGATATTTTTTGAAGTGTTTTATTTCTGAGCTCCTAGTTCTGGCCATTGGCCTATGTGTATGTCTTTATGCGAGTACAATGTGATATTGATTACTCTATCTTCAATGCAAGTTTTGAAGTCAGAAGGTATATATTCTCCCTTTTTATTGCTATATTTGAAAATTATTTTGGATCTTCTGATTCCTTTCTATATAAATGTTATAATGATCTTTATAAGAAAATCTTGCTAATAATTGATAATTATTGTTAGATCATAACATAATTGACAGAGTGTATAGGTCAATCTGATAGGAACTGGCTTTATTTTACTGTCTCTTTGTCACTAATGTAAATATTCTTCATTTATCAAAACATTAATGTCTCTACACAGTATTTGGTAAGAGATACAAAATTATAAAAATGAGAGAAGAAATATTGATAACTTATTTTCTATGCATATGTCCTGCCTTTCTTTAAATTAAATTTAATGCCAAATTTTTGTTACTGGAAATGAAACCATTTTCCTTATTGTGCTTTTGAATTTTTTTCTAGATGGAATAGGCAAAGTGCTAACCACTGAAAGATGTCCATGATATAATCCCCAGGATCTAAGAATGTGATACATTACATTTTTAGAAGCGGGAATTACTGTTGCAAATACAGTCTAACTTTCAAATTTGGAAACTATTCCTCATTATTCTGATGAACCTAATGCACGCAGAAGGGATATTAAAAGTGGAACTGAGAATCAGAGAGTTGGAGACTGAGATGTGATTTTCTTGCCTTTAAAGATTCAGGAAGGGACTATAAGCTAAAATAAGAGAGGTCGCTGGAAGCTGGGAAAAATGAAAAGGTAGTGTTCTTCCCTGGCTCCCTTGAGAGGAGCCCAGGCCCCACATCCTTGGGTGATGTACTTGAAAATTTCTCTCCTTTTTTTCTGTAGGTGTTGGCAGAAAACATCACTACAGTCACTGAGTTCTTGTTGCTGGGTTTTTCAAGCCTTGGTGAGATTCAGCTTGCTCTCTTTGTGGTTTTTCTCTTCCTGTATTTAGTCATCCTTAGCGGCAATTCCATTATTATCAGTGTCATACATCTAGATCAAAGGCTGCACACACCAATGTACTTTTTCCTTGGCATTCTCTCAACATCCGAGACATTCTATACCTTCGTCATCCTACCCAAGATGCTCATCAACCTACTTTCAGTGGCCAGAACAATCTCCTTTACCTGTTGTGCTACTCAGATGTTCTTCTTCCTTGGATTTGCTATTACCAACTGTCTGCTCCTAGGTGTGATGGGCTATGACCGCTATGCTGCCATCTGTCACCCTCTGCATTACCCCATTCTTATGAGTGGGCGGGTATGCGGGAAACTGGCAACTTCCTGTGTGATTGGAGGCTTCTTGGCTTCACTGATAGTTGTAAATTTAGTTTTCAGTCTCCCTTTCTGTAGTGCTAACAGTGTCAACCACTACTTTTGTGACATCTCACCAGTCATTCGTCTGGCATGTGTGAATACAGATGCTCATGAGTTTGTCATATTCATCTGTGGGGTTCTTGTACTTGTGGTTCCCTTTTTCTTTATCTGTGTGTCTTATCTCTGCATTCTGAGGACGATCCTGAAGATTCATCAGCAGAGGGCAAACGGAAAGCCTTTTCCACCTGTGCTTCTCACCTCACTGTTGTTGTTCATTATGGCTGTGCTTCCTTCATCTACCTGAGGCCTACAGCAAGCTATGTGTCCAACAAAGACAGGCTCGTGACAGTGACATATACTATTGTTACTCCCTTACTAAATCCCATGGTGTATAGCCTCAGAAACAGGGATGTCCAACTTGCTATCAAAAAAGTCTTGGGCAAGAAAGGATCTCTAAAATCATAGGATTGAATTGTTATTGGACTTTTAATTCTTAATAAATACTTCTGCCTTTATTGTATGCATCAGTAACTGATACATTGAAATAAGGACTCTGAAATGTAAGTTATAAAATGTGTTTTTAATTTCCTGGTCCCTTTGAGTCTAATCTACAAGCCCATGCTTTTCACCTTCTCAGATGGACTCACAAAGAGCCTTTCGAATTTAAATACCTGTGCCACTGTAACACATAAAAATGTAAATTTAATTTGTATTTAAAAATCCCCCTTTCACTTGTGAAGGTCTTCATTAAATAGGGAAGCCTGCCCTGAAAAAAAGTACATATAAGCTTTGTCAACAGTCACTTCTCTCATTGCTTGCCTAACTGATTGGCTTCTCATGCCTTACACTTGGGAAAGGAGAGAGGGCATAGAAAATTCTTGCATGATTGCTACTGTTATGCTTTGTTGCACTGGGAACTTATACCACAGCACTTGTGATGCAGTTGAAACTATCTCTGCCTGTCAGCTTGAGAGTTTGTTTCTTGATATTGAGAACTTGTGACCCCTGTGGATCACGTGTCTCCTAGAGGTCTTATTACAAAAACTTCCTTTTATCCAGTTTCAGAACAATGTTTTTCTTTCTAATTTGCCCCTATCTATTCCAAAACAAACAAACAAACAAACAAACAAACATTTGGAGACAGGCCTGAAGATTCCACTCCCAGACAGGTAGAGAACAGACATCTTTATGTCTTGGTGTTTTAGGGCAATAACACAGACTCACTCATTTGCTTTTCAAGAATGCATTTTGTCTCCAAGTCTGCCATTCAGGCCTGGCCTTTGGGCACACTGAGATGTCAGTTGAGACTAGGCATGGTGACACATGCCTGTAATCCCAGCTCTTGGGAGGCTGTAAACAGGAGAGTCACTAGGAGTCCAATCTAGTAGTGAAACCCTAAACACCCTCTAGACCCTTCCCTAAAATACAGGTGGAAAAAAAGAAAAGAATGCATTTTGTTTGGTTTATTAATTTATTCAAAAAATTATAAATTACTACACATTTGTATATAGTAAATATATTTCTTATGGGGAGTTGGTACATAAATATAATGCATCTTAGTTTCTTTTTATCCTGATCCCTCTGCTCCCTCTGTGTTCTACATGACTCTGGCTCACCTTTCTACTTGCAAAAGCTGTATTTTTTTCCATAATGTGTTTTTCCACCTCTTTTCCTCTCCTTTCTTCTTTTCTCTCCATTCATTCTTGCCAAATACACTTGAAAAAAGCTCTGTATTATTTTATTTCATTAAACACAGGTAAAACAGAATTTCATGACAAAATAATAGAATGACAATAGTTAAAGCATTGCATATTGTCATCTTCAAAGTTGTTGCTCACAGTGAAAGATATGAGCATAAAGTTTTGCCAATCAATATAAGCACAAACCTTCCCTTTGAATAAACTGAGAGATACTACAAGTATCGCTAATTTGAATTTTTCTCTTTTTTCTCATCCTTCCTTTCCCCTTTTGCCCATCTAGTTCACTTTTCCTTTTAATCAATTTCCTCCCCATTTTATGGTATTTGTTGTGCAATTTGGATCTTATTTGCTCTTTCCATTTCTTATTCCACGGAGACAACACAATGTGAGTCTGATTTATTTCACTTATGAATAAAGAATCTAGTTGCATCTAGTTACCTATAAAACCTCAAGATTGTTCTTCTTTGTAGCTGATTAGTATTCCATTGTGTAAAAATGTCACATCTTTTCTAGCCATTCCTTGGTTGATAGACATTTGAATTGTTTCCAAGATTTAGCTATTACAAATTGTGCTACTGTAAATATGGGTACACATATATTTCTTTGGTACCATGTGTTCAGTTCCTCTGGAAAAATACCAAAAAGAGGAGTAACTTGTTTGAATGGTACTTCAAAGCCTTGATTTTAAGAAATCATTATGCTTATTTACACAGTATATTCATCAGTCTGTACTCCCACCAAAAATTGAAAAGGGTTGTTTTTTCCCCACAGTTTGTTAAGAATTTGTCATTTGTTGATTTCTTGATGATAGCCATTCTTTCTGGGGTGAGATGGTGGAATTTCAGAGTTATTCTAATTTGTATTTATCAAATGAGAGGTTGAACTCTTACTTGAACTCACAGTGTTGAACATTTTTTTTCTTGCCATTTGTATTTCCTTATGTGACAAATGTATATTATCTCAGATTCCAACTTTTGGATTGTGTCTTTGACTTTAGAGTGGTATTTAACTTTTTCTCAATTTTTTATGTTTTATATAAATATGCATTATTTGAGGAATAATTGGCTAAAAATTTTCCTGCTCTGTGGATTGTCTTTTCATTTTGTTAGTGATTTCTGTTGATATGCAAAAGATGTTTAATAAAATGAGATCCCAATGGCTGATTCTTTGAAATTTCTCATGCAGTTTGGTTTTTATTAAGTATGTCCATATATCAACATTTCCATTTAATTTATTTTCCTTTTTTTTTTTGGCAGAACCGGGGATTGTACTTAATTTATTTTCATAAATAGATTTAATGTTTCTGTTTTAATATTTAGGTCTTTGATCCATTTTTACTTCAGTTTAGTGCATGGTCATAAACATGGATCAAGTTTTATTTTTTAGCATACAGAGAGCCAGTTTTTCAAGCACCATTTACTGAAGAGAATATCTTTCTTCCAATTAGGCCCTTTTGTCAAAGATAAGGTAGCTGAGTGTGTTTGTAGTTGTGTCTGCATCTCCACTGCGCAAAAATTCCACATCTATTTTATTCATTACACAGTTGACAGGCATTTGTGTTGTTCTGAAGATTAAGCTATGATGAATTGTGCTACTATAAATATGGGTCTATCACCATGCACAAAATTAAAGTCAAAATTTATCTAAGTTTTAAATGTTAAAACAGAAACACTAAATCTACTGGAAGAGAAACAGTGTGAACATCTTTACAATGTAGGGGTAAGCAGAGAATTGATGAACATAAACCAAACTGCAGGGAAAAACTTTAAAGAATAAACAATTTTGATCTCATCTTGTTGAAAACATTTTAGGGCCAGCCAAATAGCTCAATGGATTAAGGTGCCTGCAGGGGCCTGAGGGTTTGATTACTGAGCCTGCCATGCCGGCCCCACCCCCGGGGTGTGCTGAGATGACAATTGAGCCTGGGCATAATGGCATGTGCCTATAATCCCAGCTCTTGGGAGGCTGTAAATAGGTGGATCACTATGAGTCTGATCTAGTAGTGAGACTCTGAACACCCTGTAGACCTATCCCTAAAATACAAAACAAATAAGCAAATAACCCCTCCCCCCAAAAAAAAACCTGCCCAGGTATGATGGCACATGCCTATAATCTCAGAATTTAAGAGACTGAGTCAGGAGGATGGTTGTGAGTTGAAGACTATCCTGGCCTACAATGTGAGCTCAAGGTTAGCCTGAATTACATAGGAAAAGCTTGTGTGAAAAAAGATAAAGATAAGAAAACAAATCACCAAGAGAATAAAATGAAAATTTCATGAATTGGGTAAATAAATTTACCCAACTGTCCATCAGCCAAAGATGTGTTCAATGTAGAACACATGAAGAATTAAAAAATCAGGCACCCTAAATTCAAGGATCCAATCCAAAAGTGAGCATTTCAGATGAACAAACCTGTCTCAAATGAGGAAATGGCAAATAAACTCATGAAAATGTTCCACATCAATGGTCATTTGAGAAATGAGAACTAAAACAATACTCAGAACCCCCTCACCCTAGAAAAAATAACTATCATCAAGAAGTCAATCAATAACAAATGCTGGAGGGAAGCATTCTCCACTATTAGTGAGAATGTAGACTGGTACAACCACTGTGGAAATCAATGTGGAGATTCCTCAAAAAATAGAATTTAAGGCCCCATTCAACTCAGATAGCTCCCTTCTGTGTATTTTTCTGGAGGAACTGAAAAGGTCATGTATTTATTCAGTTGTTCTTTTCCATGGATATATCTTATTTCCCTATTGATTTTGAAACAGTTTTGCGGGATACATTAACCTGGACTGGAAGTTGTTTTCTTTGAGGACCTGAACCACTTCATTCCAACCTCTTCTTGACTTAAGGATTTTTATTGAAATGTTGGTGGTGGGCTTTCCTTTATAGATAATCTCTTTCTTTTCTCTAGCAACCTTTAATATTTTGTGTTTGTGCTCAGTTTCTGGGATCTCGATTATTATATACCTGAGTGAGGATTTATTTTGGTCAAAGCTGTTTGGAGTTGAATGTACCTCATTTATTTTTATGTCAGATTCTGTTCTCATGCATAGGAAGTTTTCTACTGTTACTTCAAATATTCTTTTTATGTCCTTTGGGTTCATTCCTGATTTTTCATTGATAACTTTTAGTTCTATATTGTTTTTGTTTGCATCAACTTGCAGCTATTGAATTATGATCCTGTCTTCAAAGTCTCAAAGTTTATCTTTAGTTTCTTTCAAGAGGTTTTACCAAATTTCAATGGAACTTTTAAATTCCTGGATATCTATTTAAATGTTTCATACATGCTAATTCTTTTTTACACTGTTCATTCAAGGTTTCTATCAGTTGCCTGTGCTTTATTTTTTTTAATCCATGACTACTTCAGATTGGCTGAGGAATTTCTTCAATATGTTTGTCATTTCTTTTATTTACTTGAGAGATTATTTCTTATGTGATTTCCTTTGTAACCTCATGGATTTATTTCTTTACTTCAGTTGCTATCATTTCAGAAATATCAGGTGTGTGTCTTTCATTTTCTCCCACTTCGATGTCTCCTTTACTATTCTGGGTGGGCTTGAGGCCTGAGTTTGAATTTTGCTTCTGTATCTTCTTCTTTTATATTTCAGAAAATTTTACATTTTTTGTTGATTCTTTTAAGTTTTCATAGCATGTAGCTCTATCATTAATATCAAGACCTCTCTAGGAACAGTCTGTTCTTCAAGAATATCTTCTGTGTGTAGTAGATTCTTGTTTTGTGTCTGTCCCTAAATTCTAC